TCGTCATATCTTCGTCTATCTCCTCTTTGCTTTAATCTTTCTACGACATTTGACAGATACACAAAATGTGGCAACTCCATTCAGGTCTTCTTCGTCAGCTGGAAATCATCATCGCTTCGGTCTCTTCATGCAACATATTTCTTATTGTTGCCTCCTTTGGCTTTGGGATGGGCAGTCAAACTTGGATGGACTCCAACCTACTACTTCTCCCACAAGTCCTTGTCAACCTCTACACCCTCTTCTACTCATACTTTAAATATACGTTTCTTTATAAATGGATCTTACAACTGCTCATGTCTCTGATCCTTGCAGGGATATTCATCTTTTTCACTGCCAAGGTTTTTCCGCTGGCGAACGAGGATTCAGGACAGTTTCTGATCAGAGTAGTCGAGGGCACCAATGTATTTCTGGCATTCATGTTGGTAGTTGAATCGACAATGGCAGTTGTAGTCGTCAGGAGGGAAAAAATAGATCGCCCTTTAGACGACGTTCCAACATCGAGAGGCAATGCAGGCGCAACTGAAAATTCAGCGAATGGAATTCAAGAACCTCCGCAGATTCATATCTATCAGCCTCGCTTGGATCTTCCTCCTTCAGGGCAGCGTGGCCGTGGAAGTTCCGCCCTCTCTGGAGAATCAACAACAGGAGCAGCGCAGTCATCCGCAGATCAATCGTACCGCATCAATATACTTGAACGGGAGGATAGCATTGGGAACGAAGGATTAGAGTTGGAGTTATTACCAAAATATCAAAGGAGACGACCAGCGCAGTCAGTAACAATTGTTGATCTTTCTAATTTGCAAGGCGTGGATCCTGCAGTCCTAAACAGTGTCTTGGGTGAATCTGTACACGAAATTCAAGGTCAGGCTCAACAGAATGGTCAGCACATTGTTTGCGTTGAGGCATTGGATATGGCAGAAGCACCAGCATATTCTCCTCCACTAACATCATCTGGAGGCTCCCGGATCACCAACGATACACCAAATGTTACAGAAGGAACAGCGGAGGAGCCATCAACTTTACAACTATCACCTCCATTGTCGTCCGCAGAAGCAGACACACCCTTATCAACGCCAAATACTGCTACTGTGACTTCATCAATACATGTTTCGGTGCCTTTAGCAACCGCATTGTATGAGCCACCTACTTATATGCCCTAATCCACTTTGTAAATATAATTTTATCGTACACGTAAAATGTAACAATAGTAAATAAATATGGTAAATTCACTAAATTGACGATCGAATTTGCTGTTTGCGTGTGAAAACCGTCTTCCTTGTATTTTGTCGATTTTCGACTTTTAGAACGTGGGAACGGACTATACTTTCCAGAAATCGGCAGAAAGGTAAAAAAAAAAAAAAAATTATATATCTTGTCTTCGGATGCATGGTTTCTTCCATTTTAGAGCCTGCTAAAGGTATAAAAGTTTGAAAGTTGCGATTTCGCGTCCCCTTCTTTTCTGAGCTTTCCATCTGGAAAAAAGAAAAAAGAAGAGAAAAAAAGAAAGGAAAAAAGGAAAAGTACCGCCACACTTGGTGTGACAGCATTATGCTTATTGTTATTTGTGTTTAAACCAACAATGATCTAAATCCGTATAATAACGCCCTCTCTCAGTGGGTGCACTAGGCCTATAAATATTTTTCCGCTTCCGCGCATCCGATCACCATGCCCCTGTATATATTTCAGCCCATGTCCTCGATATTCTCTTTGTTCGCTACTCCTTTCCCCCACGCACTCCGTTCTCAACCAACTCGCCGGTCGCCTCCATATTGATAAATAGATTAGTAGATACGATGCGCCGTTGCTACCCTTTCCTGGCGCCTATGCAGGTCATTATAGGCATAACAACCCTCTACTGCTTTGTAGCAGTCGCTATCGGCAAGAAAATTAGTCAGGATCACCAAGAGGCATCTGACTCATCTAAACCATCAAACTCATTCGCTACCGAAGAGTTCTTCCGAGACCCCGCACACTGTGGCATCAATATTGCAGTCCTTGTCAATTTAATTATTACCAAATGCAATTCCAACTGCACCTGCTGGTGGCTCACTTGCCCTTTCAGCAGAATGATCTTCGCGCTAATGCTTGCATCTTTGGCTCAGGTGTATGGCATCAAGCTATTTGTTGGAATTATTGGCCAGCACGGTAGTTGTAAGGATCCGTATTTTGATAATACACGAACTAGGTGTTGGCTCCAGTATGGTGTCAGTAGCTGTGAAGTATTGTGGAGCATCTTGCTAGTCATCGAGTGTGTTGTGTCGAATCGACAGAGGAAGGATAAAAAATGGCTGGAACAGACTGCGGAGGAAGAGCTACGTACGTCTGTTGTGTATAATCCTGATCTGTCTCTCGAGACTGGTCATAGTCAAAATCATGGGTCAGATAATTATGCAAGAGCAAATATTGAATTGACGTCAATCGCAGGCCGACAGGCGGTCAACAATCAGACCATTGTGGATGAAGAAGGCGAGCTCCCAGAGTATAGCAGAAGACGGCCTAGAGATCAACCAAGGATTGTAGATGCAGCCAACCCTCCACAGAGACTTGTTGGGGCTGTTGCAAGGCTGTTGCAGTCAGATGAAACGGGAAGAGTCCCCAGCCATGCACTAGTTGGGTTATCAACGCCATCACCATCACCACCACCATTCCTGCATACAACTCAAGCACTACCAGAGGGTATTGTATTAGATGAGCTAAGAGAAGGCCAGATACGCCAACCTCCACCTCCTTCCTACGAACCATAAACATATACTCCGATATTAAAGTACATTTGATACTTCATATGCGTTTCATAATTTACATTTGACAGGTGCTACATTATTATATATAAAATGGTATGGCATAACAGATATGACAAAGTGGGATCTTAAAGATGTGCTGCTTGGTAGCTTGGTGGAGGTGTCTGTATCATCTGTGGTATTGAAGCCCGTAGTGGCCCCATCGATGTTCCCCTTGCTGGCCTAGGCAAGTGTCTAGCATTCGCCAGGTCAATGATTTGAGCTCTTGGGCCGGAAGGTCGTTGTTCATAAGCCGGCAATGTCTCCAATTCTAATGAATCTCCTGTCCTGGTTCTCCGATCGGCTCCTGTTGAATCATGAAGTGATATATTTGGCTGGTAAAGGTGCACTATGGAGGGGGTGGTGGCTGATAGATCTTGTTGTTGCTCCTCGCACTCTCTATAACTTGAATTGAACTTTTGATCCATCTCCTTTTTTCGATGCACGTCAGTCAATACGAGTTCCATAGCAAGCAACACGCTCCAGAGAATGCCGATAACTCCAACGATTATTTGGATATAACACCGCAGCTTCAACGACATTAGAGTTTTGCCTGTACTACTACCGCCTTGGTTATTCGCTGTAGGGGTTGGTTCACCGAACATGAGACCCTTGTCGCATCCACCGGCCTCTCCGATGCTATCGAATTGGGCACCAAGCAAGCTAGCATTGCATCCAAGTAACGCTAGTCCTGCCGTGATACGTATCCTGCGGGACCACCGAGAGCTCCCGAGAAAAGAATAGAGGACCGCGAGGAATAGAAAAGTGTTGAAGGCAAATTGTGGAGTATCGTGGAAGTTGTAAACGTTGTTGTACGTATCGGTCTTTGGGGAATATATTTGATAGGCAGCTGAGAGAGCGCAGAGATTGATAGTTGCAGCAATGATGAGGATAATGCGAACAATGAGAATGAGGAATTCGAGTGTTGGGCGACGACAGCTTCGTGATGTCTTGAAGTATGGCATTATAGGCAAGAGTGCATGTGAAGTGGGGTTGTGGTATATTATGGTTCTGAAAAATGGAAGGTGAGAGCGGTTTGCTGCAAAGAAGACTTTTTTTTTTCTTTTCTTCTAGTCGAGACGATATTGATCTTGAGACAGATAAAGTTTAACAATAGAAAATACGGTCGCAAGGAAAAAGCTACCGAGATAAAAGAGCCGTAATGCAAAGGAATGAAGAAAAGAATTGTAAAATGAACGTTTGTTGAATGTAAGGATGAGAAGAGTAGATTACGACCTTGGTGCCTATTTTTTTTTTTTATCTTGGGCTCACTACCATGACTTTAATGCTCGACAATCACTCTTTCAACAGCTAACCCGAAACAATATTGCAATTTAGCGTCCAAATGAGTGGTCTATTTTGTTAGGGAGAGCTACTGAGTTGACTATTTTGGGTTCATTTTGCTTGGAAAAGGAGCATTTCCATTAAAAAATTTTGACGGTGACGGTGCATAAAGTCGCGTTTCATCGTGATCATGAACCCATGAACCATAGAAAAGCACAGCGGTTCCTCAAACTTCAACCAGTCTCCTACCTGGTCAACCAATCAGCATTGAAAGGAATCCAGGAGCGGAAAGAGGGAGGGAGGGTGGAAAGGAGAGAGAGAGGGGGAGCCATTTACTTCCAAAGGGTACACCACAAATAGCTACATGCTTCTAATTGCTCAGAGACTTTTGTCAAGGAACCTTAAATTCTCCTTTCATTTTGGGTGACATAGACTACATGGCTGGTGTTGAAGTAAGAGATCAATAGGTGAGGAAGGGCAAGATGAAAGGGGTGACTGCGACAAAAGTAAGAAATCCACTTGATGAGAATGACGCGAGGGACTCTGGTGATCAGTTGATATCTGAAGCTCAATAGTCTGCCCTGTAGATTTACACCAAAAGGTGAAAGATGCTCGATTCTTCGGTGTAATTGTGGTATGCAACGGCAAACATTGCTAATGCAGTTGAGGGAAGAGCTCGCTCATACAGATCAGCACGGCCGACGGAGCAGGCGAATATGTGGAAAACACTTTTAGAAAATCAGCTAAGCCCTTAGCGTGACTGAGAGCCGAATAGATGCAGGGCTCCATCAGAGCAAAGAGCAAAGAGTCAAAAAAAAAAGACCTGTGACCACAGATTGACAAATGTAGACCAAAATAGATTCTGAGCATCCAAATATCATCTACCCATCCTTGGTAGAACAGCAAAAGCTAGTAAAAAGAGTCAAGAAGGAAAAATGAGGAAGAGGGAGGGATTTGAACCCACGACTACCGGTTAGATAGACTGCATGCGAATTTTAATTCATATAGGGTTGCAGCGCCTTAGACCATGCTCGGCCACCTCTTCTTGTTACACTTTCCTATTTTCTCTTATCTCGTAACTTATAGCGGCTTTTCCACTGCGCCGCCAATTGCTTGCACCGCCTTTTTACGCCTTTTTCGCTCGGTCATCGCTCTTACCATCATTCTATACTCTTCGCAGTAAAAAATCACTCCTGGAGATACTCATCCAACATATACCTTTGAGAAAAAAAAAAAAAAAAGGGAAGGATTTGAACCAACGTTCACTGTTGAAGCGAACTGGAAAATACATAATAAACGTGTTGCTGTTTGCAACACCTTAGACCATGTTCTGTCATCTCTTTGTTATGTTCGTTCATTTATATTGTGTGCATTTCTATCGCTTTTTTTCAGTCATCATCAGCTGCGCCTTCAGTCTCTCAAAAAAAAAATTCGCGTCAAATAATCGAAAAAAATTTTGATTCCAATTTTCTTTCTTGCTATCAGTTGGCTTCAAAGAGCTGTGCTGAATATGTCACGAGCGGATTCAAAGCACCGCCAAAATATGTGATTATATCAAAGTTGCCAATGAGCAGAAATCGCTCAAAAAAAAAAAAAAGAAAAGCAAAAGCAAGAAGGTGCCAGCTTTTTCTGATTGGCGTGTGTCTAATGTATTCCTCTACCTTTCTTTTCCACCGATACCAGCCGTGTATATCATCACTCCCAGGACGTGGGATTTAATCTTAATTGAGTTAGCGTAGACCAGTAACCCTAATGCTACATCATATATAACAATGATTGAGCAGGTCTCTCCACCCCGTACAGCAACTTAAAAAAAAAATCCAATTCATCAAAGATTAAGCTCGGCAGAGACTGATTAGGAAGCATGGCTGCATAAGGATGAAGGCGAGACATGTTGACTTTATCCTCTCTTCGAAGAGCGGGATAAATTACCAAAAAGGACAGGCATGTAGACTTGTATAAAGGCATCGATGTTTGGTTTAAGGAAAACCTAATGCGTAGATTAGCAGACCCAACAAGATAAATACACCAAGCACGAGGTAAGAAGAATTTAAATGCACGATCGCCTTTTGGCGGACTGCATTGGATATGTAATATACTGTCTTCTAGCACATTATTCACCGCGCCTCCAGCTTCAAAAATGTAAGGCGAGATAAAATACACTTTTCAGAATTTTTTTTAAAAAAAAAAGAATTAAGAAGGTGAGAGAGGAATGAACTGCGTAGAGATGGTTGTGCTACTGCGGGTTATAGCGCCTTGAGCCATACTCGATTACCTCTTCACAAGAAGCGATAAAAAGGAAGAGGAGGGATCTGAACCCACGAATATCTTTTGGTAGACTGCAGAAAACAAAATTTTGCAAATGGCTGCAGCGCCTTAGACCACTCGGCCACCTCTTTTTTTTGGTGTTCCGTTGTGGTTGCCTGGTCTTATATCCCTCGCAAACTAGAATGTTTTTCAATGCATGCGAATAAAAGAAAAAAGTGTCTAACTTCGAGGGTTCCTTGTTAGAATAGAAAAATTTAAAGTGTTTAGCATAGTTCGCTGCGCCTTCATGCTCAAAAACGCGAGGCGAAAATAAATATTTATTAACTGATGAGGTGTGGCAATTGTTGCACGGGTCTCCGGGGCAGCCCCAGGAACATGACCTGTCTTAAAGAAACTGTGGATTTATTCGCCCTTTAGTGGATGGTGATTATGGTAGATCATTACTAGATAATCTTTACATATTCGCAGAGTTTTTCGACTCGAAAGTCAAATTGTTAATAAAAAAAAGTGGCGCCCATGCTACGGGATTCCGCACAAG